CGTCGGTGGACTTGAATGTCTCTACTTCTATACCAGACGGCATGTTTTACTATAACACACAATTGCAGGAAGTTAAGGGTTTTGATAAAGTCGTTTATTTTGGGAAGTCCTCGTTTGGGTACACAAGTCTTCGGATACTGAAACTTAATCCTCTTGCAGAGTACTCGACTAATGTCTTTGAACATTCTTCGCAACTCTCACAAGTTGATCTGAACGGAGTCACCTTTTTGCCGTCTTACACTTTTTCTTATTGTGAAAAGTTGAAAGTTGTTTTTGGCTTGGAAAACGTTCTAAAAATAGACCAACGCGCTTTTGAACGGTGCGCTCTGGAAACCGCCACTTTGAATGGAAATGCTATTTTTGGAGACTACGTGTTTTTCCTCAACAAAAACTTGAAACGAGTTGATTTGAATGGGGTTACCAAAATTAGTAATGCAATGTTCGAAAGTTGTTATTCCTTGGAAGAAATTGTTGGACTGCAAAATGTGATTGAATTTGGGTCAAACGCTTTTCGGGACGACAATTTGAAGAGTGTGACGCTCAACCAAAATGCTGTTTATGGGCTTGATGTATTCACTTCAAACAAAAATTTGGAGGAGGTCGACTTTAATTTCATTTCTATAGTTCCCGATAATTTACTCAAAAATTGTGAAAATGTGAGGGTTTATAAAAACACAGAAAACATCACAAAAATAGGGAGATACGCATTCAGTGGTGTTCCACTTGAAGAGATTTCCATGAGCCAAAATGTCGAGTATGGAGACGGTGCTTTTGCTTATTGTAAAAACCTCAAAAAAGTTGTATTGAATGGAGTGAAAAGTCTCCCAAATAACATTTTCAGAGATTGCAAAAATTTGGCTGAGATCTCGGGCATTGAAGAAGTGGAACAATTTGGAGATTACTCTATTTCTGGTCTCCCTTTTAAAAACTACACCATGAATAGCTCTGTTGTGTATGGGCAAAGTTTGTTTGCAAATTGTGAAAAGTTATTAACTGTTGATTTAAATGGAATAAATGTTATACCATATGGCTTTTTCTTTAATGCAGTGAATTTGTATGAGATTAATGGACTTGAAAATGTTATTCAATTTGGTGATCTTTCTCTTAAAAACACTGCCATAACCTTTTTTGAATATTATGATAATGTAACGTATGGATTTGGTGTTGTTTCGGAATGCAGATTTTTAGAAGAAGTTATTTTGGGACCGTATCTCAAACTCGATATTTACGAATTTGCAGACTGTGTTTCCCTTAAAAAAATAGTTGGATTAGAAAACGTGACTTTATTTAAAACGCATGCACTTTCAAACACTGGATTGACAGAAATCACCTTAAATCCAAACGCAAAGTATTTTGGAGGAGAGACCTTTATGGACTCCCCACAACTGAAAAAAGTGAATTTAAATAACAAATTAATTATAGAAAAGCAGTTGTTCAAAAATTGCGAAAATCTGGTGGAAGTTGTTGGGATGGAAAAGGTGACAAATTTCAAAGAAGAGGCCTTTTCTAACACTAGTCTTCAGCGAATAATTTTGAAAGAAAATGTTGTTTTGGAAAAGGGGGCGTTTTCAAACAACAAAAATCTCGAATTTGTCGATCTGAACAAAATCGAGAACATTCCAGAATCTTCCTTTGCCTTATGCGAAAATTTGAAATATTTGGAAAACTTTGATAAAGTCGTGGCAATTGGCAAAAGTGCCTTTTCGGGATGTAAAAGTCTCAGTAAAGTCCAATTTCCAGAAACGTTGACAAGTATAAGTTCATATGCGTTTAATGCAACCGGATTGACCTCATTGGCAATGTCGCCAAATGTTACATACGGTGAAGGTGTTTTTTCATCTTGTCTTGGCTTGAGAAAAATTGCACTGAATGGTAAAAAGTATGTACCCCCATACACCTTTTCAAACTGTGAACAATTGTCCTTGGTAACTGGAAGCGAAAATCTGCGATTAATCGGGCAGTATGCGTTCTCCGGTTGTTTGTCACTCAAATCATTTTATTTTAACACCAATTTGGTACACATCTTTGAGGGAGCATTTTCTAATTCCGGCTTCGAAAGTTTGGCCGTTACTTCGAACTTGTTATTAGAAAAAAGTTCATTTGCGAATTGCATGAAACTCAAAAAAGTTGATTTAGAAAGTTCCACGGAAATTTCCGAAAAGTTGTTCTTTAATTGCATCGACCTGGAGATTGTCAAGAATTCTATAAATATCGTTTCGGTGCACACTGGCGCGTTTTATAACTGTGAAAGTCTCAAAAAGATCCATTTTAAGACTATAGAATTTTGTGACAAATATGCCTTTTCGAAGCATTTGGAAGCTATTTTTGTTCACAAAGTGAGTGATATTGTTTATGGCGATTTTGCTATTGTAAACACAACAAAAGTGTTTGTGGCTGACAATTACACGGAAGAGACTTTTGCCGGAATTCCGGTTTACAAAATTGGATGCACAGAAAATCAGTTTATAGATATTGGTAATGAAAATTGTGTTGATTGTACTCAGGATTTCACCTCATATGATGGCGTTAATGATAAATGTTATACAACACAATGCGACAACGGGATGTATCTTGAACAGGGAGAGTGTGTTTATTGCAAACAGCAATATGAGATCCCATGCATTAATGAAGAGTGTGTGGTGTGTACACAAATGTCTGATTATGTTGAAAAATTAATGATTATATCATTATTAATGATCATTGTTATTGGATTATGATGTACTGAGTATTCAGATTGATAAGTTAAATCTTATTTAAATATCCACTTTTTGAGTTTTAAAATGAATTAATTATCATATGTTTACAGTTGACCAAATAATTGTAAATAGAATAATAAATAGTTTTAAAACTTTAATGAAGAATAATTTTAAAAGCAAATTTTGGTGTAATTGTATTATTGAGTGTACCTTTTTTTCACTTCTTTTGATTTGTTTTTTCAAAATAATCAATAAAAAAACATAATTTTGATAATTACTTGGTCTACTCAAAATGTATTTATTAAATTTATTAAAAAAGTTTTCAACAACCATTTTTATATTTAGACGGTTGTTTTTACCAAGTTAGTATCTATCTTATTAGTTTTTATATATATTAATAAATAACACCAGTTGTCATATGTAAAGTAACAATAAATAATATACATTTTAAAATCAATGCAGTAAAACCTCTCAAGAACGTACATTGTTAGCCAATCAAATCTTAATTACGGCTCGATAGGGAACTTTATTTTTGGTTTTAGTCTGAAAAATTCCCGCTCTTCAAAGGTACCGCTTTAGGGAAGTTAACTTAAATATAAAATTTATAAATAAAAAAACGGTTACAATTTGGGATAATAACTTTATAAAAATTGTTATTAACAATCAAAAATAAAAATTGTTTTTCTTTATTACAAAACAGTTTCAAAATAAATGAGCCAATTAAAATAAATTATATACCACTTTCGAATTTTAATCATTTAAAACAATAAAAATGAAAGGTTAAATAATAATGAATAGTGAATTGATGTGTTATTGAGAAATAACTCTTCTTTGTTTATTTTAAATTAATTATTATTTTTAATTCAATTATTAATTTCTTATGCCAACAATTGATTAGTCAAAATACCAATCATATCAAAAAATGTTAAGTCGATATTAGAAAATAGGATATAAGTTAGTTTAATACTTTATATTTATGTGTTTTAATTATTTTAATAATAAGTGTTTTGAAGTTAATTATTTGCTATTTCTATTTTAATTTTGATAATAATTTGAAAATAAAAACATGTTTTTATAAAAAAATATTTCAAATAACTGGAATATTTAAATAAATAATAAAAACCCCTTATTAATTTTTTAATATAAATTGATAAATAAACTCAAAATGAATATGACAACACCTTTTCTCAACACCAACACCGAACTTGATATGATTAAAACTAGAAAGACTGTTTTGGTTTATTTTACAGCCACTTGGTGCCGACCTTGCACTTTAATATGTTCTTTATTTGAAAAACTGAGTTCTCAGAATAAACAAAAAGAATTTGTGAAAGTAGATGCAGACGAAGGATATGAAATTTGCAAAAGATATGGAGTAAGAGCAGTACCAACATTTATATTATTTCGTGAGAAAAAAGAAGTTTGCCGATTGTTTGGGAACGATCAAAAGGTATTAACAGAAATGGCAAGTAGTATGTGATTAATTTAATTTATATATTTAATGTGTTATTTCTGATATACTCTTATTGTACATACAAATTAATACAATTTTAAAATAATAAATAGAATTTAGTCAACATTGTTATTAATATATATAAAACACTACAATTTACATAATAATTACAGTAGGAGAAAATATTAAGATGCTCGAAGAAAGGAGGATGCTTGTAACTATAGGTTAATTTCAATTGAAAAATAATAAAATTATTATTAATTATAATATAAATTATTAATCAAAAAAATAATAAAATGAAAAAACCGAAATAAATTTATATTAATTATTTATTATTAATAATGTTAAATTGATTAATATTTAAATGAGCATCACCCTTTCCCAGCATCCTACTTTTTCCATTAATTGTATAATTGTTTTATAAACAAAATATGTCGAACTCAATAAATTATTGTGGTTCCACGAAATTGTAATATTTGATTTTAAAATCCGAAGCTTCTAATAGTTTTTTGATAATATCAATACCGTTTATTTTTACTTTATCTTCTTTAACAGCATTATCAAACACCAACTTTCCTTCAAAAACGTCACAAACATCTTTTCTATTTCCTTCTAAAGAAGCATCAAAAGTATCTTCTTCTGAGCATTCTCTAACGTGCAAAGTGCCGTTACTTACAATAACAATTCTTTCTTCCTTTGTATCAGAATATTTAATTTTAATTGTTTTAAACATATCACCAAGCACCTTTGGTTCGACAGACACACACAAATAATCGCAAAACGCAGATATTGGAAAATCGCTCAAAACGGCTCCTCTGGGTCTTGGCTCTTTCCAGTCTTTATTTCTCAATTCAGTAGCAGCTGTATTATAAGAGTTAATCCACAACGCGCTTTCACATTGATAACCCAACTGGTCATACACATCTGCCAACAAGTTTCGTGCTTTTTGATTCGTTTTATTTGCAAAGACAATGTGATTTAAAATAGTCGCAGCCCATCGGTACTCACCTTTTTCAAACGCGGACTTTCCTATTGAAAACGCCTTTTCTTCTCCTCCAATCGCTTCTACATATTTCACTGAAAGTTCTCGAGGTGGCAGTTCATTCAAATGTGCGACGTTGTTATCATACCATCCAAGATACATCATATACTGAGACTTCAAATTGTGTTTCAAGTTACCATAGAACCCTCTGCAGCAATGTTCAGTTTCAAGACTTCTTGGGAAATGCACGACTTCTGCTATTTCATTTGGAGTGTATCCTTTATTGGCATATCTCAGAGCTTGGTCATGCTGGTACTTGAACATGTCTCTTTGCACCACCCAAAAGTGTCTGATCTTTTCATTGCCGCTTAAGTGCCAGTCGTGTCCTCCAAAGTGGTGTTTGACACACTCAGCATACTTCACAATGACGTCGTCGATACATTTACTCCACAACTTCCCACTGCGCACTTTTGCTCCACGAAGAGTCAATAAATTGTGTAAGAAGTGTAACATGTTATCTGCAGCACTTAATGTCTCGTAGTCTTTAAAGTACATCATCATATTTGCTGGAGCTTCTGTGTCTGGTGTTAATATGAAGTCGACTGTTAATCCATCGACTTCCATTGTGCAGTTTTCAGTGATATAAAAAGTGTTTTCAGAATGTGGAAAGGAGTAACTTTTACCATCCACTTTCGGCAGTTTTGCAGCTGCTAAGCAACTTCCTACCATATTGGGAGAGGTGTTGTATACACCAATTTGATACTCACCACGCCTCCCCATCACTTGTGAAGTGCAAACATGCTCATCGTAACACATCTCTTTAAAGTGATTGGGCAAATACAATGGAGTTGTGTCGGTGCCCACTGCATCATAGCCCAAATAATGATCACCATGAGAATGAGTTATTATTATAGCAGATATCTTGACATCCTCCACAGTCTTCCGAATAAGATCAAATGACTTCTTACATGCATACATTGATGTCATGCAATCAACGACTACCCATCCGGTTTTACCTCTCACTACAGTGAAATTGGCAAAGTCGATGGACCGTGGACGCACTTGATAGATTTTCTTTGGAATTATCTCAAAAACACCTTCACAATCGTCTAAATAATTCTGTTTATGATAACTGGGGTTGACTGTGTCCGGACATTCACTGTTTATTTGATCAATTGTCTTATAATGTGCCATCAACTCGGGAAGTGTCTCTTTGTTTAAATTGCCATCCATGTCTGCATAGTAACCATTAAAAGAGTCTTTGTAATCTTCCACATATGAAAGGTCGTATATTTTTCGAAATGTGGAATTGGCTTCTTTGGTGAATGATGAAGCCATTTAATACATTTTCAGAATATAAAATTTTCTTTAAATTCCATTTGAAAATTATTATAATTTAAAGAACGAAATATGTTTCAATTTATTGAACTTTGAATATATTCAAAAAGTGGATGTCGTTTGTTATTATTATTAGAATAATAAATAATATAAATAAAAAGATACACAAAATGAATTATAATAAATGGAATTCACTCAAAATAACGTTGATAATACAGATCCCAAAAAACCGACCGGCATAAAATAATTTATAGTACATTATAGTTTTTTGTTTTTTGTCTTTTTTTTCAAAATTTTTATTGAAAAAACTATTCAATAGTTTTCAGAAACTATTTTTATAGTTTGCCGGTCGGTTTTTCTGGGATCAATATACAGTATGGACTCTCTGCTTTATGCAAACCTTTACCTTATGCGAGGATTTTATTATTTAATTTTAATAAAACAAAACCATTTAAATAGTTAAAATAATTTAATTCTAAAAATACCAGACACTCTGCTTGATGCAAAAAGCTATTTTGAAATTGTTTTTGAATAATTTTGAACAAAAAAACCAGAACTTTAATAAATTTAAATTCAATGTATAAAGTCTCTACACCACGATTTTAGCCAGCGTAAAGAGAAATTCCCAATACCAGTTTGTATTTTCTTTGTTTTGTAAAATGGTATATGATACTTTTTACCAGCTTGCCTTGTTGACAAATGAAATAGTATTGCGCAAAAACATGTTAATAAAACAAACAATGTCAACAAACTCGCGTTAAACAGCGTTAACTGGTTAGTGAGTTTCTCACTTTAGCAGGTGTCCAAAACATTGAAAATAAGATGGGTTGTCATTGAAAATCGTTTTCAAACGACCACACTCTTACAATGCTCATTGATCTTCACAACTGTCGATTGAATAATTGAAACAATTCTTATATCAATTGATGTACCTTTTTTTAACTTTTTTTAAAAAATTCGTTATTTTCAAAATAATTAAAGAAAAATACCTTCTTCTTTCAATTATTGAGGAGTTCTAGTTTCCTTTGTAATCTAGTAATAAGAGTTTTTATTATATATATAAATTATAAATTCTGATAAAAACAAGTCTGATTTTGAAAAATCATATATATAATGATGATAAAATAATATTTTATCATTATAATAATTAAAATATAAAAAGTGTATTGTTACAAACAATAGTGTTGAAATTAATAACAACTTAAAAACCTCAATCTTAAAAAATCTACAAAATATGAAATTAAAATTTCTATATATAACTTTCAACATATATAATTAAAAAATAATTAAGTAGTTCCGACAATAATGTCTTTATCTGACCAACTCGACTTTTTTTCGTTAGAAAAAATTCTTTTAACGCGTATTTCCACGCGTAATTACAGTGCTGAATATCCCAGTGATTCTCAACTTATTTTATTGACCACATTTATAACCAAAGTAAATTCCATGACATCTCCATACGCTGTTCCATGTCGTTTTTGTCTTCAGCGTCGTGACTTTGAGAGTGGCAAGCGCTTTTCGAATATTAGTGGGCACAAATATTGGCTCTATGGCGTGACACTGAAAGACAATAGAGAAGCCGAGTTATCATATGGTTATTTACTTCACTTAATAGTCCTCTATGCGACATCTTTGAACCTCAAAACAGTGTGGTTGATTGGCCCATTTTACTCGAATTATTTTAATACACTTTTATTTGACGAGGAGAAGGAATGTATCCCATGCGTCTCCCCTGTTGGTCTTGCAGATGAAAGTGGCGCGGTGCAGAGAAAAAGACGCAGAAAAGAGCTGAACGAACTTTTCTTTGTCAATAATTTGAAGACGCCAATTGACGAAAAAAATGCGCCAAAAATTTTCGAACGAAAAATTTTGGAAGAAATCAAATTTGGACCGTCCGCTAAAAATTATCAGGAATGGAGATTTGTGTTGTGTGAGAGCGAAATACATCTGTTCGGCGTGATGGGTAAATTCACTGTAATTGACATGGGAATATGTACCGCACAAGTCCATGTCGCGTTGTGTGGAAATGGCGTTAACGGTCATTTTGAGAAGAGAAAAATATCATTTGAAATACCAAAGGGGTGCGAGTACTTCATAACTTTCGTTATTGATTAAAAAATAAAATAAAGGTCAGTTGATGTATTTTGTTGTTTTTCGATATTTGAACAAATATCTTGTAATAAAGAAATAGTTTATTGATTTTTTGTTTTTAAAAACACTAAATTATTATTATTATTCATTAATAAACACAAATTAATATGTTTTGAATATATTAAAATGTTTATAATTAAAATCAGTTATTTTTTTTTGTAATAAAAAAAATAACTGATTTTATTTTAATAACAAAGAAAAATATCGTAAAAAAATTTTAAAAATAATTAAAACACTGTTTGATTATTATTACAGTCGGTCTTTTAACGTTATCTGGTGTTTTTTGGACCATAAAAATTGGAATAATTCGGGGAGCAGTCCCAAAAATCCATCCCAATTGTTTCGGGTTTTTTCACGCTTTACCTAATGCCCGATGTTTAGACAAAAATGATTCTATTTTTTGTCCACCAGATAACATTAAAAGACTGACTCTATTGTGTTTTTTTAATTCCTATTAATTAAAACTTATGTTGTGAGTTATTTTTCCAGTTAGACAACATTATTTGACAGACTTCATATGTTTAATTTAATTGTAAAATTAGAAAGAATCTTTCAAAGAGGGATATCAAAAATTGTTGAGTGTAGTATAGATATAAGCAGTATTATATAATAACTTAATTAATAACATATAGTAATTTAGACCAAAACAGTACTTTTAAATAATAATAAAATTAATCAACTATTTGATACAAAAATAATTTCACTATTTATCAATTTATTAATAATTTATAAATAATTTAATGTAATAGATTAAAAAAAGAAAGCAGAATTTTAAATTAAAATATCAAGAAATTCAATTATAAACTCAGTGTATTTTACTTGATATCCAATTAAATACTCCAAACAATTTTTTTGGTTTTATTTTTATTGAAATAGTTCATACTAAAAACCAATTTAAAAAAACACACCATCTGATAAATTAACATGAGCACAACAGATAGATCAGCTTTATTGACTTCATTTAAGAAGATTGACAAAGACAACTCCGGGGACATCGACTTTCAAGAGTTTTGGGGAGCTGTTGGTGATGATGTTCGCAAGCTTGGTGAACAGCAAGTGAAAGTCTTTTTTTGCACTGCAGATTCCGACGAAAATGGGAAGATGGATTTTGAGGAGTATGTCAAGATCAACAAGGCAATAGCACAGATGAAAAATTTGAATCAAGAAAACATCTCTCGAGCGCTTTTTATGTTAACAGACACTAACAACAATGGGACTTTAGAAAAGAAGGAAATTGCTCGGCTAATGAGATCAACGGGGAAGCCCCACGACAAAAAGACCATCGACAGAATTTTTAGTGTGATGGATAAAAACAACGATGGTCATGTGACATTTGACGAGTTTTATGCGGCTCTTTCTCAATAATATTTTTATTGTTTTGTTTTAATAATAAGTTATAAGTCAATCAATGGACAGAGGTCGTACTAAGGTTTCGGCAAGAACCATGGTTTCTACTATTATATAATAATTTTTATACTATTATGAAAACTAAATATGATACATTAAATTTGGACTTTTTAAAAAATTAAAAAGGAAATTAGTTCGTTACTATTTAAATAGTATTTAAATAAAAGTCGAAAATTTGTTCCCACACATATTGTCAAAAAAATCTTTAAACTATAAAAATAGTTCCTTTAAACTATTTAATTGTTTTTTTAAATAAAATTTTTGAAAAAACAGGACAAAAAACAATAAACTATAATTTACTATAAATTTATGGTTTTCTTGTCTAATACTCAACATCAACATTAATATTCAATATTCAATAATATATTAAATAAGTGCCAAGATAACTGAAAATATAATTGAGTATTTGAATATAATTTTCTATTTTTTTTATTTATATCTTTTTTTATAAACAACAAAATATCATCTTAGTGATATATTATAAAAGGAAAAAAGACAAATACAATTTTAATACATCGCCTTTTATAAATTTGTGTTTATTATGTTTGAAAATCTATTGAATAGTTAATTGATTAGAATAACAACACAAAATACCGCGAGTACGTAAAACCTGATTGCAACCAATTGATTTCGTCTTGTAGTAAATTATATTTTTATTATATTTTGACTTCAAAAATTTTGTACTTTTTGAATAAGTACACATTAATTATTATTAAGCACAATAAGATTATAGATGTCAAACTGTTTAATATAAAATTAAATGTATGTTCGTTATTAAAACAAATAAAATAATTAAACGATGGAAATGAAGTAAAAATACTATAAAAACCAAATCGAACACATTGATTCTTATAAAAACAACACTTAATAATGAAACTATTTAAAATTTATATTTCAAATGACACAAATATCTGTATTTGTTGAGAATATGATATATAGCGCATCTATTTGTCAGGAATAAATAAATTTAAATTTATTGTTTTAATAGTATTTATTATAAAATAAGTTTTTAATTCAACAAAAGATATATTTTCTAGAACAATTTTTTTTGTTGTGCACCAATGTTAATATCAGTTGCTTTACAAATTAGCCGGTTCTCAAAAATAAGTATACAACAAGTGTACATCTTTGATTGTAAATAAATTAATAATAATTAATTTACATTAATGTTAATGTAAATAAATAGCATTAATATCTTGATTAATCTTTGTTTCGATATGAAAAATGTCAAAACAATTTTAATCCAATTTCAATAAAAATCATTTACAATGACAATTAAATATAAAAACATTCAATTTTTATATTATTGTTATTATTATTACAATTCACTAAACTTTTTCAATACATTTATATATAAAAACAAATAAAATACCATTTAATTAAAGTTTGAAATAATCGCTCTTCTTTTTACCACAAAAAGCCGACCCAAACAATGCTGCAGAGGTACACAACAACGTCACCATAATAACCAAAAACGTGGCAGCCTCAGAATAAAATACTGTAGCAGTAAAGTAAAACGCTTTGTCGTAACAGTCTTGAGAACATTTATCTGGATTGTTCGTTTCTAACTCACATCCACAGAGTATAGTCGGAGAGTCATATCCACAACAATTGTACTACATGTCATGTTTTCGTTTTGTTGTTTATTTGATGTTATTTCGGTATATTCAAAATATTTTAGGTAATTATAATGAAATGATACTCTCATCCAATTTATTTCTTAAAGATTTTGTATTGCATTTTAAAAATTTGTTCAACAAAATTTGTGTGCCATATTATTTTAGTCAATTTATAGTTTTTTAAATGTAATTTTTTTGTTTTTGCCTAAGATTTTTTCAACCCAAATACTTCTAATTTTATATGTAATTTAAAAGTTAAATTGTATTATAAATAGACCATTAACACATACATAAAAACAAACATCGTTTTCGAAGGCGTATCGTGTGTCGAAGTTAGCAGTATCAGTCCAAAGTGGTTCGAACATCCCGTCGTTAACTTTTAAAGCGACGACAAAGAGATACACGCCAAATACGATTGCGAAGAATGCACATATTGGAGCGATAATAGCTAACACCATTTTAAAACATGAAGCCTTCTTGCAACACGATATCGCAAAAATCACAAAGGAGATGATCAATATCGCAAGTCCAAGTAATATCGTCCCATAGACCCCTGAAAAGATGTAATACTTCTCATTAAACTCCATGTCATACATTCGTGACGTTAATACTATTTCAGCAATCCCAGCAAGTGAAAGTAAGGCCGCTAATACCTTTAAATAAGTTCGCTTGTTGTTTCAATAACCAGAATTTGAATTAAAGCATCGAAATTAATCAAATTAGCGTGTCACAATTAAACTATAATTAATAGTAATTATTATTATTAAATTTAATTTATATTACAATAATTTATAACCTATTTATAAATAAATACTATTTATACTAATAGTAAAAAGTTCGAAATCGACTTTATAGTTCACATGAAGTAGGTTCTATAAGTACTAATAATTCTAATATATTACGATCAAATATAAAATCGCTTTTATAGGTATTCAATGTTGTTTAGTGTCAGTGTTTAACAATAACAAACTCCAGTGATTAAAACACAAGCGCAAGAAGTAATTGAACCTAATCCCATATTATTGGAATTATTAGTTTTTTATTGGATATACTTGATTTTTAATATGAAATTTAATTTATAATTTAATTAAAATGACTGATATCATTCTAATAAAAAAATAGTTGATAAAATTTTTAAAAAGATTTTTTATTTTGAATATTAAGTTCGGCAGTTGTATATTTTATTTATCACATTCAATACAGTCAGAGGCGTCTATTTGTCGTAATTATAATTGTCGAATTTTCTTAATTGTCGCACAACTAACCAATCATTTTTGTGTACGACAATTAAATATTTTATTCTCGAATCTGTAACTTTTGTTGAATTAAAAACTAATTTTTTTATAAAAAATAAATTTCAATATTAAAAAGAATTTTCTACAAAATTCATTCATTTACGACAAATAGACGCCTTTGACTGTATTTTTACGAGTATTTACGGGGTGCCAAAAACTTATTGAATGCCAGAATTATTTTAAGAATTGAAATGAGTTTGGCACCCATTTTCATTTCAATTATTATCAAGAAAAAAAAACAAATAAAAAACAAAAAAATAAAACCCGAATATTTACATCAATCAATCCTTTAATTTCTTGGCCCCCATTAAATACTCTATCTGTATTTTTACGTTTTTAATGAACGAAAATATTGTTTTATTTTGTGTTAGAACAGTCATATAGTTTATCATGAAAAAAAAATGCTACACTTGATAGTTTATTTTGAAAATGGATTTTTTCAAAATTATAAACATTCTTTGAACGTTGTATGCCGATTTTTTGAACCACGAAAACCAGATTTATTCAGTAATATTCAAAAAGTTTAAAAACTGTTGTTTTTTAAAAGTTTATCCAGTTTTTTTTAAAACAAAAATTAATTATTTTTTTGCTGATAAAACAATGTTTAAGTAACAGACAATGTTTATTGACCAATTCTACAAATTAAAATGTTCTCAAAATACAATACAAGTGTTTTAAAACTTGAAGATTAAGTCAAAGTCCAAATTTAAATCAATTAATAAAACAAAAAATAATTGGGATCTTTAGTAATAATATATAAACCTTATAAATGTATCATAAAAAATAATTAATATAAATATGTCACATAT